ATTCTGTAGTAGTACCAGTACTATTTCTGTTATGCACAACAATACATTCATTTAGCAATGTTTAAGTTTGTGTATTTGCTACTTGTGTGTTTATAAACCTTCTTTCTGTTTTAACTGCTGATACACTGACCCAACTGTACTACAGGAAACATCGTATTAAGAAGTTCTATGCTCTTTTATCAACTCACTGTGCTGAGCTTCACAGCGTGTTTGATCTCCTCCACTTTCTGCAGTCTGTCCTGGATCATCTGCTGAACATCAGCCTTAACCCTTTTCATCTGTGCCTGAACCCCACGATGGGATTTAAAAACACAATTAGAAAGTCAAAAGGCTGTGACAGTATTTGACGGGATGATGTCAAAATGATGATGAAGAGTTTAGACCCTCACCTTCTTCTCCTGACTCTCTCGCTCCACTGGAACAATGTCATGACAGCGGTGGTCTGTCTCGGTGCACAGCACGCACACACATCGCTGATCGCTCCTGCAAAACAGCTCCAAGAGCCTTTGGTGCCTTTCACAGATCCTGTTTGCCAGCAATGCAACAGGTTCAATCAGCTTGTGAATCTTCAAAGTGGCAACTCTCAGGTGAGGCTCCAAGTGGCTCTCACAGTACGAGGTCAGACACACAAGACATGATTTCAGGGCCTTCATTTGTTTCCCAGTGCACACATCGCAATAAATGGATTTTCCCAACGATAACACGTCATTCTGCCTTCTCGCTCGGATCTGCTCTGACATTTCCTTGGCAAAAGTATTTTCACAAAGCTCCGGGCGGCGCTCGAAGACTGTCTGACATTTTGGACAGCTGATGACATGGTAGTCGTCCCAGTGTGTTGTGATGCAAGTGAAGCAGAAGCTGTGACCGCAGGGTATGGAGACAGGCTCAGAGAAAACATCCTGGCAGATGCAACACTGAAACTGCACGTCTGACAGGAGAGCGTCGGGAGATGTCATGACCTCAGAAATGAAATGGGAAAAAAAATCAGTTTGAATAAGTAATCAGTCATTTATATTTTGAGTCACAGAGGAACGTGTTTTAGAAACATTAACAATCACCTCAAAAATTCAACCATTTACAGTATCAAACACAAAATTTATTAGGGCGTTTGTCTTCTTTGCCCTTGTCCAGCTGCATGGTCACATAACTCAGTTTCTCACTTGCTCTTAGAAACTCACTATGTAAGGTTTAGCTTGAAACATGAACACACCCATTAAAATCCAAAGCCTAACATGCATGCTCCTTCACACCCAGTGAATTTGATCATCCCACAAGCGTTTCAATGTACGGCACTCCCATAACTCACTGGACCGGTGTGTGAAGACTAAGTCCCTTTTTCCATTGCACTTGACCTTCCTGGAAAACAAAGCAGAAACATCACTGAAATTATTGTATCGGTTTGATCAAACTATATTAACATACCCGTCTATTATTTTGCATTGGTCTTACTCTGTCGATCAACATGAAACTTGACCTCTGAGGTAAAAAAGGCAAACACTGAGACCGCAGGCGTGAAGCCAAAGTCCTCTTTGTTGCACTGGAACCACTTTTTTTTTTTTTTTTTTTTTACTCCAGCGCTTTTTAACTACCATGTGTTCCAGGGTGGGAGGAGTTATGTTTAGACTCTGTGCCTTACAAAGTTTGCATTGTGCAATAGTATCAAATTTGTATTGCTTTGCTCTGAACTGAACAGGAAATACACTGGGGTCTTAGTCACTGAATGAGTGCTTCCTCATTATTCAAAATGTTGAAACCCAATTTTATGTAGTTCAGAAAAACTGTTGCATAAATGTTTAGTGTTAACTTTACCATACTACACTTATGTAAACTAGACTGCTGCTGTTCTCCAGCAGGTCCAGTTAGTCTGATACTTTCTCCAAACAAACAAAAAAACCCCCCAAAACTGTTAGTGAGTTACTAAACAGTGCATGCATTATCATTTCATTAAAAACTGTCAGCCTGAACAAAGCAGACAGGAAGTTAGTTAGGGTCTGTTCAGGTCTAGTTTTGCTTGTGTTGCACTGTTAACATGTTTTTATTTCACTACATATTTGAAATGAAACTGCATAATTAATCACTTTTTCATTTTTTCATTATTATTATCGTCATCATTATAAGTACTACTACTACAATGGTATTCTTTCATTATCATTAAATACAAGATACATTCTGTAGATTCAAGTTGTTTACACACTGTAAATATACAGTAATTTACTGTCAAAGTTGTGACCAGTATTGTTGCAAAATTACAATACAGTAAACTGCACATTTATTTCTAGAAATACACTGTAATTCTAAAGTAAGAAACTTAAAATAAAATAAAACATACTTTGCACACGAAGCTGCTGCCAGTTAATCAATGCAAATTTATAGTGAAAGGTCTTATACTGTATTGGAGGAAGAGCTAAGACACTGCACACAACCCTCAAACTGCCAGAAGGACCCACATCTAAAACATTTGTAGATACATTCTGCTCATCTTGTCCTTCCTCAACTGGTCTCATGTGACAAGAACCTGAGCTTTGAAGGACAACAACGTTAGTGACAGTCCGTATTGTCTGGAGAGCTAGAAAGGAAAAAAGACAAATAAAAAAGGCCACACAACAGAAATAAATATGTTAATAATGAACAAAGATATTTGTAGGTTTTCTGAAAAGGTGAACAGAAAATAGTTATGACATTGACAATGAACAGAAACAATAGTTGATCTCACCTCCCCCAACAGACTTCTTATGTCCGAGTCTGACAGATGGGTAGAAGACTTTAATCTGATGTTCAGTCCAACAACATAATCTGTTGACATAAATACACAATGTTACAGCTATTTAACATTATTTAAATATAATAACCATTAATATTATACTGACTGAATATTGGATTATATTAGTTATTTTGAGCAAAATATATCATAATTAATGAACATTGTTTTAACACAGGACAGCAGATCAAGTACACTTACAAAGATCCAAAAATGAAATGGATCGAAGAAGTCTGACATCTGATGTTCATTTCCTCTACATAATACAAGGAAACTAAAGTATAGAATAGAGTTATGATTTGGATACTTGTTTAACCCTTGTGCCCTACTTAAATGTACTACCCTCTTTTCACATTTGTGCCAAAAATGTACACGTGCAAAAATATGAATATTAATTTTTCATATTTCAATATTTTTTGCTTTTTAAAAATATAAATCTCTTAAACAACTTCAGACTTGCTCAAAACTACCAAACATTCAATCACAGATTCACACACACTCTCACTCACACACACAAAAAACTCTTGGGGCCCCCTGGTAGTCACACAGCTCTATAATATGGCAAAAATACAAGAATTTCATGCATCTGCCTACAATGGGAAAAGGGCTGAATCTGGTGAAATAGAGTAGAAATATGAAATATCATTAATTTTCTTCAAAATGAAATGCTGACATTACAGAATGCATGGTTTTATGAAATGCTACCATTACAGAATGCATGGTTTTATACTGTAATGGCAGTGAGATGAAAAAAATGTGGTTTCAGTGGAAGTCACTGGGGCATTTTTGGCCATGAACATGTCAAGAGGGAGCAAAGATCCAAAAATGAAATGGATCGAAGAAGTCTGACATCTGATGTTCATTTCCTCTACATAATACAAGGAAACTAAAGTATAGAATAGAGTTATGATTTGGATACTTGTTTAACCCTTGTGCCCTACTTAAATGTACTACCCTCTTTTCACATTTGTGCCAAAAATGTACACGTGCAAAAATATGAATATTAATTTTTCATATTTCAATATTTTTTGCTTTTTAAAAATATAAATCTCTTAAACAACTTCAGACTTGCTCAAAACTACCAAACATTCAATCACAGATTCACACACACTCTCACTCACACACACAAAAAACTCTTGGGGCCCCCTGGTAGTCACACAGCTCTATAATATGGCAAAAATACAAGAATTTCATGCATCTGCCTACAATGGGAAAAGGGCTGAATCTGGTGAAATAGAGTAGAAATATGAAATATCATTAATTTTCTTCAAAATGAAATGCTGACATTACAGAATGCATGGTTTTATGGTTTTATACTGTAATGGCAGTGAGATTACAAAAAATGTGGAAGTCACTGGGGCATTTTTGGCCATGAACATGTCAAGAGGGAGTATCTGGCATTGCATAAAAAATACTAATGCAATCAAATCAATTTTGTTGCTCATCTTTGACACATCTAAGACCACCAAAACCCCATCCATCTACTATTTATAATATGGAAAAGAATTCATTTTTTGTGGATTTATGATTTATATATTTCATAATTCAAATCATAAACTGGCACTTAACGGGTTAAAATCCTGGGAATGATTGAATGTTTGGTAGTTTTGAGCAAGTCTGAAGTTGTTTAAGAGATTTATGAAAAAAAGAACTGAAATATGAAAAATTTATATTCATATTTTTGTATGTGTACATTTTTGGCACAAATGTGAAAAGTGGATACAAAATGCATAAAAAGACTATGAATGACATTTAAGAGTAAACGACACTGGATTTCAAAAATATTACTAAAAAGAAACTTCCTGCCAAATTTCATGCCACAAACTGTAACATAGCCAAAATTATCGCCAAATAAAAAAAAAAAACATTTGAGAAAAATTTACATTTTTGCCCGAATAAGGCAGAAGGGTTAAATTAAGCTCATGAAAAACATTTAATTGAGCAGTCAAAAGAAATGTTCAGGACTACGTGAAGGATGTAGCAGTGCATGTACTTACAGGGCAGGTTTGCTGTACAATATGTAACCAAAAAAAAAAAAAAAGTTTAAAACTCCTGAGAGCCAATATGGAAACTTCTCAATTAAATAACTATATAAAGTTGAGCTGCATTACAATAAAACTAAAAATAGAATGAAAGACTGTTTTTTAAAATGTAATTATATCAAGTAAAGGTAAGATTAACAATGTCCTTTTAGATGTGCTCAGAAATAAACTACAGGGCAACTCTTAAATACATGAAGGAGGAAGGGGAAAGATATTCAGATGGGACAAGGAAATTACCATTTGTTGTTGGCAGGGAAGGAGCTGTCCACATTACAGGGTCAAAATAAGTGAGCCTTCACTGACAATTTGTTAAATTTAATCTACTTCTCCATCTAATCAGCCTTACCAATGCAAACCTGCAATCATTTGATAGTGGCCATGATTACATTGCAACTACACTCATCAAGCTATTAGCCATGAAAAGACTTCTGTACTTCACTATATCATATGAATAAAAGAGCAAAAGTGTTGGTCCTCAATGAGTCCAACAATAACCCTCTTTACAAGAGAACAGGAATTAGATGCATTACCTGCAGTGTAACAGATGAATGGAAAGCTGAGGGAGCAGTTATTATCTGACCACTGTCCTGAGTTACTGAATGCTATGGTAACACACTGCTCATTGCCAGAGTCTGGTTGTCTGCTGGCCCAGTCACGAAACAGTGAGGTGCTCCCATCAGACCACAGTTTTTCTTGGTGCAGACCAATCCATCCATCCATTTGTAATAGTGGCATTTTCAGTCAGATTTCGTAGACTGTGAGAGGAACAGTATCATAGGCTGAACATTTGGAAATAAAATACAAGCTCTATGCCGTTATTCAACATGAACAACATAGCCATATAATAGTGACAACCAAGACTATAATAATAATAAATGAACTGGCAAAGAAGAAATGGATTAAAAAAGACAAAACATTGGGATAGATGTTAATAAAAAACATAAAGTCTTAAAAGCCAGGCTGCATTTTGCATCACCTTGCCGGTGATATGTACATTCTTGTAAATGAATTCCAATCAATAATCATAATAAGCCTGAGCTGCCATCCAATTCAAACTTACGCTGACCTTCACAAAGGAAGATGTTCCATTTATTGTACCTGGAACAAGATAGATGAAGAGAAGTTATCAACAGTGTCATGATGGCCTGTGACACAACACTCATTTTACTACAGCAGTGTCAGTGACAGATCAATTAGGAAGACATGATAATCTAAATTCAGAAGGATAACTACCACTCATGGCATCACCTCACAACACACAGAGATCAATTTGGCCCCTTGCTAATGCTCATAAAACACAAAACTCACAATTGTAGCACACAAGGTATCTTTCAAGGCTGTAGTCAGAGTCTCCCCAAATGCCAAAACTCCCATTAAAAAGCTCCACACAGTACCGGTGTCCTCCAAAATTGCTGGGCTCACCAGGGTACCAGTTTCTAAACCCAGTATCACCATAGATGATGCCGTCACTCAGAGACCATCTCCAGCTGTTTATCAAATCATCATAGAGACCTGGCCTGTTCAAAAAAACATGTTCAGTGACAATAACACCAACATTTCAACATTGCTTCAGTTATTTTTCATTGAGGACATTTGTTGTTTCACATTTCACATTGTATTTTTTCATAAGCTTATCAAGAACTAGATTGTTGCCAGGCTGTTGTGTACTATATGCATATGTTACAGTATGCAGTATGTGTATTTTATGTATACAATTCCAATATTGAGGACTTGCCCGTGTAGTCTGATGTGGTGCGGAGTACAGCACTGATACCAGCGCTGCTTTCTATGGTGGCCAGGTCAGTGTAGACCCCTCTGCAGTAGCTCTGAGCTTCAGTCCACTTCAGTGGTGTGTTAATAAAGTAGCACTGGCGGGGCTGGGCTAAGATGACACTGACCAGTTCTCCTAAAACAAAGTATATTCAGAGTTTTATTCCTTACATTTTCCAAAGCATGTACACTCAATATTCACTGTAAAAGAGCATAAAGAGGCACTGTGCATCAGATGAATTTTCCAAAGCTGCTTCCTCATTGATGAGATTTTTGTCGACTAACTCTTATCTGCATTGACAAGCAGAGTAAGCAGCACTTTGTAAGGAGCTGAAATGTGCTTGTTCATACACTAAGAGCCAATGTGAGTAATTTATACACAAGTTTCTATTTATTTGTAGTTAAATATTTATCTACTGTGGAAAAAAATGCTCCCCCTCCCAGCAATTTGTGCCACATCACACTGGCTGTGTTGTAGCATGAACACTATTATGCACAGAAATAAATGCTCCATTGAACCTGAACAAAAATCCCTGTTGGATTTGTTTATGTTTATCTTGAGCAAGGTCAAGTTTCACTCAGTTAATCAGTTTCTCTGTTCAGCACTGATTACCGAAAAAAGAGCCAGTTTAACAGGTGAAACTAAGTGGAAAACATGAGCTGCTAAAGTACTGGATTTCACTGAGGTTTAAAAGCCTTCCTAACCCTTTTGTATATGAACAAATACAGGTGTTCACAGTAAGTTGAGACAAACACCTTCACCTCTCGCTGTTGTATTATCTATTCACTGAATTTCTTTGACATTGTACCATAACCTTCAATTTAGTAGTTAATGATTCTACTTACCATTACATTTTCAACCTCTTCCTACTTAAAAAAAACGCAGGACTTCAGATGCCCCAACTGGACTGTTTGTATGGCAGCCAAGTATTTTGATGTGCGTCTTAAAAATTCTTAGCAATGGTTGTAGTTAGAATGTAAGAATTTTTCCAATTAAATGCACTTATGAAAAGGATCTGGCAACAGCCCAAAAGTGTGCTTATCCTTCTATGTCTTGTGGTACATACAGTAACATGGTGCAGAGTCCTTTGCCATTTATAGTAACTGGTTGCCTTAAATCAAAGTAGTATTAATTGACATTAATCCTTAATGTCCTTAGAATTTTTAAGCATTTTATATGTTACAGTACTTTAACAAAGCATGTTTTAAATTACACCAGAACCATATTGTAGAATTGTATTATATTGATTAATCACATGAATTCTTTCATTTACCTTTAATTTACTATTTTCTGGTTTTGTGAAGAAGAAAAATATTTAAAAAAAATGCACCAAACATTTTTTAAATTCAATTTTTTACATAATTTGTTTTAACCAAATTGTTGCACCATCTCTTACACCAAAATTTCACAAACACTTAATTTAGTCTCTACATACTTGATGGTTACTCAGTTTACAAAAAT